ACCTTTTTAATCAAATACAATTTTTCCCATGATTGCATTGTGTTTGTCATCTCAAGAAAAGACAATCTCTTTAGGGAGTTGACTTGGAGTTCACACAATGTCCAAAACACCTTTTTCTGTCTAACCTAGAGTGCTGTACAGCTCTAGAATTTAAACCTGAAATTAGAACTATATGTTAAATTACATGTTGCTAAAACTAATGCTGATAGATGTAGACAAAGAGTATCTAAAAAGAATGTGTATTACTTTAGAAATAATACATGTTAAGTTTATTTGCTAACATGTCATCTTATAGGTTCAATATTAGCCTGAGGTTAGCAAGGAAGATGAAGTGACTGAAGCAAGGATGGATAAAGTACTATTGCATAATCTAGCAGTGTTTGATGGGTCTTAGTACATCAAGCAATTGCTTAAAAAGTATTTTTAAAAACTTTATTTTGTTTCCTAATCTTTTCTAGAATGAACTGTCCCTGAATTGGATTTTGAATCCAAAACATTCAGTTCATTTTCTCAGCTTTTATACCATAAATTGGTGGAAGACTTATTGATTTACACAGCCTATAAATCAAAAGCAAACAAGCACAGAAACTGCAAGTTCAGGACTATAATCTTGATGAACTGTTACACCTCTTTCAAACTGAGGATACATTTTCAGTGATGACATCCATTCTCTGTTTTATAAGGATTCTGCTTTTTATAAACTGACAAGGGAAATGGTCTTCTCTTGAAGGATAGGGTAGAGATTCATATACAGAAAATAAAAATAACAAGACTGCTTAGAGATAGAAACGAAATGTTGTTTTTTGCAAGGCAAATGGTCTCCTGATTTGTATTTCAAGGCTCCCAGAAAAAAACATTTTCCGGCATGTGAATCTCTTATCTCTGAGAATTCTTATAGGAGGTTGTCCTAGCTTATTGGAGCTCCTAGGGAAGGGAGTTTTCGAAGTAATGTGAGAAGGGTTGATGTCATTCATCATTCTTAAAGAAGATGGCATGGGATGGGAGATTGTAGCAACAATGACCCCTGCCATTATCACGTCACTTTTAGACCACTGCAATTTGCTGTACATGGGGTTGCCCTTAAAGATGACTTGAAAGTTACAGCTGGGCAAAACACAACAGGCTGCTTCTGATAGATGATAGCTATTATAGCAGGATAATAGGAGCTGCATTTGCTGCCCATTGGCGTCTATGTCCAATTCATGATGTTGTTTATTACAGTACCAATATTGTGCTTTATGGGTTGGGTTTTGGTTGTATTTGTGAAGGCTATAGATAGAATTTGCATGTCCAATATGAGCGTTGTGAGAAAAGATGCTGTGGATATGGTTATGAAGGATGGAGGGTGAAAACTTTTTTCCAGTTGTGGTCCAATTGCCGGCCATTTGGTCAGTCCCCACCTACTAATTTTAGAGACTTCAAAGCAGAAGATGTTAAATATCTGAGGATACTATTTAAAGGTAGTAGGCCATAGGCCATCTAGGGTTATATCTCTGTTGGTTTATGACTGAGATATGATTTACTATACAATTTTTTAAAGAAATATTGCATTTTATTGGAATGACATTTATTATGGCAAATCATGGAAACCAACTGAATCCATTTGTAATAATGGCACCAGGCAATTCCTGAATGCAAGAAAATGAATGAAATTGTGATTAAAAGTCGTAAAGAAGTATATGTATTTTTAAGTCCTGGCAGATAACTCTGGCCCGCAAAGAGAAATCAGAAATGTCTGAGGCCAAAGTGGAAAGGCAACAGTTCTTCCTTTCTCTTTGTAGTCATCAAGTGATTGGAATTCAATAGTATTCTAGCTGATAATTCTTGAGAAACTGATGCTCCAAAAGTTGTTGGTGTACAACGGCTAGCATCTCTGTCAGTAGGTTTGCATTAATGTTCTATAAATTAGAGCTTGAGATCACAAGAATACTAATCCAACTGCTATAATGGATTTCAGATTAAGAAAGATGCCCTTAAAAAGCTACCAACTCAGAGGGTCAGCAACCCCTTTTGGGCAGCAATATAGCCATCTGTTCCTAATCATAATGGTGGCAGAATGACAAACAGTGTTGTGATGTCATTACATATACTTTGCCCTTTCATATCTGTATTGTGACATCACCTGAGAAGGGTCAGAGTTGCATTGCAATATCATTACAAGCATTTGATCACTTATCTCCTTTTGGATATCTTAGGATTGAGGTTTGTTTCATGACATGTGATGTTATAAAATTCCTCTTGGCAAGTTTCAGTGATTTTTGTTTATTCAAAACATCTGCCAATTACAGCTCATGAGGTTATAGAATTCACTGCCCATAGGTATTCTCTGGGTGGAAGAAAACCTTTCAGATATCTGAGAAATGATGACTCAGCTACCTTCCTACTTATGTATATGGTCCATATATTATAAGCTGTAGCAATTGAGATAACGTGTTGCACTACCACACTTATGATTTATTTACAAAACTGTAGTTAAATCATGTCTTAGCACAGTGGTGGTGAACCTATGGCACGGGTGCCAGAGGCGGCACTCAGAGCCCTCTCTGTAGGCATGCGCACCGTCGCCCCAGTCCTAGGCCTTCAGCTGGGTTTTATAAAACCTTTTCGCTTTACGCCTCCGCCGCCGTGTGCAAAAAAAAAAGGTTCAATCAATCAGTCAATTTCAACTTCTCGCGGGAAAAAAAAGATCTTGCAAAGTTGGAATTGATTGAACTTTTTAGTCCCACCCAATCTGGCGTTACCACCAGAGCCATGCCCACCCAATAGGCCACATCTACCCAATTGGCCACACCCACCCGGCACCCAACGATGCATAAGTGGGTTTTGGGTTGCAGTTTGGGCACTCGGTCTCTAAAAGGTTCACCATCACTGTCTTAGCACAATGTGTGAATGCATTTATTCTCAATTGGCATCATCTAAATGTCATAAATTCTCTAGAGATTCAGGATAGATTGGGGGTTCTTGTAACTGTAAAAAATGTCCTGTTAATTAATTCCAAAGGAGGCTTTTATTGTGTCATCCTTTCATCCCTAATTTGTTTTCTGGTACAGAGATAATCGTGTCTTATTTGTAACCTTCCTGACATTTCCTTCCATTTTTCAATCTAGAAAAATATATTAAAGTGGAAGAGATGAAACAGTTGTATGGCATCTTTTGATTGCTGGAACTAAGCCTTCTCTCTGGAAGTACTCAGTTTAAAAATAAAAATGTAACTTAAGAACTCTGACATTCTGACATATCGCTGAGTTTCTGGAACAAGCAAATTAGCAAAGATGTGTGTGCGCTTTTGCGACGTAACAGAACCCGTATATTTGGAAGTCTCTCACAGGCTTCCTGAATCCCTTAGGGGCGATGCTAGCATTGGTGCATTAACATAAAGATAAGTAGCTGTAGTGTCTGCTGAATTCGGTCATTTTTTTCTGTTTTTCAGCATCATTTTCAGGAATGATGAAGCAATTAATCTCTGGTAGCATAATATGAAGTTCTTGAACAACACTGCAAATAGTCTGCTTTCTGATTGAAGTATTTTGCTTTAACTCATCAAAAAAAATGGAAGAGTAAAGATTATTATTTTTGGATTTCCATTCTGCGAAGCATTTTGTAACATTCAATGCTCTTTGGGTTTGAATTATTTTTGGGAGAGTAGAAATTCACAAAGATCCAGTGTAACTTTGTTGAATTCCCTCCTGAAATGAAAGGAGCTTGTGACATGTGAAAATTTTATTATACAGTTCGTCCTTGACTTACAACAGTTCATTTAGTCACCGTTTGAAGTTACAATGGCACTGGAAAAAAGTGACTTATGACCATTTTTCACACTTAGGACTGTTGCAGCATCCCCGTGATCCCTCCTTTTGCGACATTCTGCCAAGCAAAGTCAATGGGAAAACCAGGTTCATTAACAACCGTGTTACTAATTTAAGAACTGCAGTGATTCACTTAACAAATTTCTCACTTAGCAACATAAATGTTGGGCTCAATTGTGGTTGTAAGTTGAGGACTATCTGTATTACTTTTTGTTGATGTTAGCTGCCCAGAGTTTGTAGGTAAGATGGATGACCATATCATTTTTTTAAATAAATAAGCTTGAGATTTACTGATAGGTGCTATTTTTATAGTACTTACAAGACAACAAAGATAATGCCATCTCCACACTGTTAAGATGTGCAGTTTTATTCCTGCCACATACAGATCTTCTGACCATCTCAGATACAATGGCTAAATAGCCTAATGGCCCTTGTCCCAGTTTTGCAATGGATGCTTGTTAGTGAATCATGGGCTTTTAAAAGAAAAGAAGATAGATACCAACTTCCTGAAATTTATCCATCTGGTTTAAAGGAAACAAACAATGATTTAAAATGAATTTAAAAGCAAAATAATTTAAAATCCCAGATTGTGGGGACTATCCTCTGAAGAGGCGTGATTACTTTTCAGTCGCTCAAATTTTAAAATTATCCAGCATGTTCCATTATGAACAGATCAATAGAAGTTCCTTCCATATGCTTAAGTAACTGTTGGTTGAGCAAACACATGGTATGTGGGCAGCCCTGAGCCCACAAAGCAGCAGCACTTCTTGAGTAAGAAATCATAATTATTCTAAAGTTCTCAATGGTCTGAAGACTTATGAGTTTTTTTCCCTCACAACAAAACACCAAAGCAATAGAAGCCAGAATTACAGCTTCCCAATGTCAATCTCAGAGCTTTTGTCTTCTTTAGCACAACTTTAAAAAAGAAAACAAGCAGAGAGGATGTTATTTTACTGGCAGATTTCCTGCCTCATCAACTGAATAATCCATTCAAGCAGTTCAAGGCAAGAGTTCACAGTAGAAGAGCTGTACTGAAGGGAACTGGGAATGTGAAAGAAGAAATCAGTGTTGCAATAATTAAGACGGATGATCTATGTAAATGTACAACAAGCAAACACTCCTTATTCAATAATTATTCCAAATGCTGCCAACTTGCAGCTTTAATGTGACCAAAAATGGAGAATTTTTAAATGAGTTAGCTTTAATTCAATTTTATTTCCTCATTTTATTTGATCTTGATTTGGTATAAGTCAGCTGTGCTACAAATGTCACTAGAAAAGGAAGCGCGGGGATGGACAGGGAGTCGGCCATACTGGGAAGGTCTCTGACATAGGAAAAGGGACAGACAGAAAGTCCTTCCTGGCAAAAACAAAGGGTGATGTGGTAAGTCACATGGTTTGGTATCCCCTTTTTATTACTCAGTGTTTCTCAGAACCAATTAACAATGAGTACCAAGGTACCACTGTATTTATGACTGTCGCAGCATCCCTGGGTCACATGATAATCTTTTGTGCACTTCACAGCTCGCTTCCCCAAGCAGAGTCAGTGGAGAAACTGGCACTATAATTGCAAGGTGCGTTCACATAATATTTCACTTACCACCCATGGCAGAAGTAATGTCCTAAGTCTGTTGCAGCCCTGTGATGTCTCATTTAATATCTGCAACACTTGGCATAAGAATTGCTGGTCCCAATTTTGGTCATTAAGCAAGGACTACCTGTACTTCTGTATTTCAGAATTCAGTGAATGGTTACACATCCCTGCCAGAGCCCACCCACTCAAAAGTTGAGTATTTTCCACATGTACAAAAATACACATTTATTTCAGAACATATACAATAGCAAAAAAAATTACCAAGATATATTATACAGTCTTGAAGCTTTTTGAAGATAAATGCATTACTTTCAATATATTATAATAAAGACACGTAGAATAATTATGTAAGCTCTACCTGCAATGCCATCATCATCACCATCAGCAAAATGTAATGCCATTGGAGAGCATCATTATAAAACAAAAAAGGAAACAAATAAAAATTAATAGCCAAATGGAACACAGCATGGTGATATACATATAACTTGGACTTTTAAGTTACAAAAAAGGTCAAAAGTCATCCTTTATTTTTTTTTTCTCTTGGTAAGGGAAGAAAGTGACTGCAACTACTGAACAGACACTTCATAAACTTTAAGCCATCCTTTCTTGGAGAACAATGAAATGGACCATTGGCTTCAAAATAAGAGTACAATACCAAAGTTATAAAGGCCAAGCCAATCTTACACATTACAGCCAAATCACCACAGACACTAAACATAAATTTACAATGTCCAGAATATACACAAGTTATTATTAAAAAGTTACATAGCAAGCACATATACAAGTGTTTGCTAGTGTTATACAATCAAGTATTTCTCTTAAAACATTTCACATGACCTTCCCAGATACCAGGAAATGTCTTTAAAAATTGCAAGAATATAGCTAAGAAAATCATTCCACTCATCCCTCAAATAGCACAAGTTCCCTCAGTTCCCTGATGAGACTACATCCCCTGGGATATTAAAGCAACACCAAGTTAAATTGAAATAACATTCTTTTATATCAGTTGCTCAAACATAGGATTCCTCTGTGAAAAATGTCTGGTCTGTATTCTTGAATTTGGGATCATTGCACAACTTTTTCAGCCATTCCATTTTATTAGCATCGGTTCCTTCCGGTGATTTGGAAAAGCTATTATTTGGAGCCATTTGAAATGAACATTCATCCTCAGCCCTAACTAAGTGTGCAGAGGCACAATATTCATTTTCCAAGTTGATGTCAGCATCTTTGGGCTCTCTGCTCAATGAAGATTTATCAGTTTTGGAATTTGCTGCTTGCTGGACTGCAACTCCTGTGAAACGTGCAGTTTCATTTAACTTTCTATCAATGACCCACTGATGATCAGCCCCCAAATCAACATCTAGCTTGGGTTTATTTTGAGACTGTGGCTTAAGACTGGGTGGTTGTTGTTTATAAGGAAGAAACAATGTAGAATTTTCCTCTTCTTCCTCTTCCTTGCTTTGCTCTGCTAAAAGCTCTAAGGCCTTTAGCCGCTTCTCCTGGGCTTCCACGGGGCAGGAAGGAAGGTTTGTGAGCTGCCCAACTTCCTGAAAAGATCCTCTCTCCAAGTACCCCGCTACAGAATTGACATCTGTTGCACAAATGTTGCCCATTGCTTGTTGCCCCTGAGCTAAATTATTCTCGGAAGAAAATGCTGCTGACTCCAAAGTTATTTTCACAGAAGTGTTCTTTTTCTCATCCTGCTTGGAGGCTCTGTCCCTTTTCCGTAGAGTCCAGTTTTTCATGGTGGAAGCACCATTTTTCAACCACGTGCTGGGATGCAGAGTGACCGGGTTTTTATGAGAAAGCCATTCCAGGTTCTCTTTCTTAATAGGTATCAAGCTACTGGTTTGATTATTGTTGGCTTGGTTAGAAAAAGTGCTAATTCCGGATCCAAGGTGGACTCCTGAAAAAGGATTAAAATCAGGAGAAACTTCTCCAAATTTCCTTTGTGGCTGAGAGGCACAGTCTAGAGGAGAGGAAGCCTCGGTTGGGGTAAACACCGAATAGTCCGAAAACTGGGAAAAAGCACTATCAAGAGAGCTCATTGAAGACCCTGATGGGGAAGTCCCTGGTGATGAGAGGCTAGAACAGCTAGTCCTTGAGCAAATATTTAATCTAAGTGGTGGCGGCAGGAGAAGACGGTTAGAAACATCTTTCTTTTCACTGATATGACTTTCAGGACCATCCTTATTGCTTACTTCTATCCCCATAACCAAATTCTGATTTATAAGTTTCTGCCCTTCTACTTGGAGAGAACGAAACTGCTCGACATAGTCTTCATTTGTGTGGGACAGAACAGCATCACAGCTGGCTTTGCGCACAGCACTTTCATGAAACCCACTGAGTGGTGTAAACTTGGAGTCAAGAAGACCAATTGTGGGCTCTGAACAGCGCCTATGCCTCCTTGAGCTTTTCAGAACATCCGAGATGGCCGTTGACGAATAACCTGATGTGATGGAACACAGAGACTCATTCTCAGAGTGCTCTCGTGATGAAGACTTCTGATGGAAGCCCACAGAAATGGATACTGGCTGAGACTTGAGTGGTAATTTAATCTGAGCATCTCCAGCTTCTGGTGAGTCCAAATCACAGTCGCTCAAAGTCAAAACAGAGTCTCTACTCCTGTTCTCTTTCCCTCGCTTTTTAAAAAGGTTGTTAAATGTGGGGTCTGTGCAGTCATTTAATTCATTTTCCAAACTATCATAGGAGGAGTCATTCAGATGAAAAGAAGAGAGATCTGCAAAAATATGAAAACAGGTGTTACCAAATTTTGAGGTTTCCTCAGCCCAATCTAGAGCCAAAATACTGAATAAAGCAACAGTAGGTTTATTTACTATTTTTCAGAGGTCAATACTGGAGGATTTAGAAATTGCAGCTGGTGCAGAGCGCAGCAGCGCAGGCAGTTTTTGGAACCCCAAGAATGGCCCATATAATTGCATTGCTCTGCGAACTGCACTGGCTGCTGGTTTGCTCCTGAGTGCAATTCAAGGTGTCGGTAATTATCTTTAAAGCCCTTCATGGGATGAGTCCAGGCTACCTGGATGACTGTCGCATCCCACTAGGATTGGCCTGCCCTATCCATGCCAGCATAGGAAGCATGCTGCGGGCCCCATCAGCCCAAGCATTCCGGCTAGTGGCGTCCAGGAAAAGACCTTCTCTGCCCTTGCACCTGCCCTCTTAACCTCCCCCACACACAACCCAAAGAGAGGTCAGCTCCAGCCCTCCTGACCTTCCATAAGAGCTTAAAGACCTGGCTCTGCCAGCTGGTTTGGGGCTTCAACGGAGGAGCTTCACATTGGGGGCGGCTGATTGATTAACAAAGATCCCACTCTCTTCCCCTCTCATCTTATTCCCTCCCCCCATCTTTTTAGCTAGGTTGATTTTATAGTATTGTCTTTCTATTATTATAAATTATACAGTGTTATCTCTTAATATTGTAAGCTGCCCAGAATTACCATGTGGCAAGTTGGACAGATAATGTGTGTGTGTGTAAACAAACAAACAAACAAATATGCATGCTTTTCAGTTGTTAAACTAATTTTATCTATTAGAGACTTCCTGAGATATGATCCAGCAGAGTGATGGCTATGAGGAAGGCTATTCATTCACCTTCATGCAACTTGTTCCTACGACTCTCTTGCATTTTTGACCACACACTGACTAGGTCCATAATGTGATCTGAAATATATATTGCAATCCTCATAAAAATGCCATTCAATAACTTGTGAAAACTAGATTAAAAAACTAGAATATTACACTCCACTCCCACTATACGTTTTTTGCTTTTTTTCTTTAGTTTATGTTACCTGAACCATCTTCCCGGTTATCATTTTTGGGCAAAATATCTGCAAAGACAGAAGTAAGTTCTTCCCCAAAGATCCTGCAGCAATTTTCAATGAGAAACTGTACAAGGACAGAAACCTGTGAACAAAAAAAGGATATTGAGATTAAGGCATGAAGGTCACCATGGAATTCAAGGTAAGTCAAATAGTTCATTACAGGACTCCAGCTTGCCTCTGTTGGCCCACCAGGTGGAAGGTTCATTTTTAACTTGTTTTTACTTTTACTTCTTTCAATTAATGTCACAGCATCTTCAGTAATAGCATTATGTGTTAGGAAGAAATGTGCAGTTATGTAAACCTTCCAAATGCCCTTCAATGACAAACCTCATCCTATATATATAAAGCATGTTCTTTCAAAGAAAAAAATAAATAAAACCAAGTGAGATTTCCTTCTAGTCCTGCTGTTCTCTTGGCACCAAGCAGGCTTTTCCCAAAGATCCTTCTTCAGCTCAGTATTAGAACATTTTCCTTATTATCTCTTGTCAATTATGTGCTCTCTTATGTCTATGCCAGTTCTTTTCCCTCCCACACAAATCCTCCTATTGCAATCTGTTTGTTCTAGGCTGCCTCCCAATACAGGGTTGGAATCAGAAAATGTTCTACAATGATAAATGATCACATTGGTAAAAAAGGAGAAATGTAGGAAGATGGCTGCTCTTCATCTGAGTGCAAATTCTTGTCCATGAATGCCTCCACATTAGCAACTATATAATAATTTCTGTGGGAAAACAGAGTATCGCCCACTTGAGGCAAGCTTAAATATTCAAGCAGATGAATATGGAAAGGCTACGACTTTAAACCAATTCAGTTTGGATGCTTAATACAAGAAAGCATCTATGTCAGGGGTCCCCAAACCCTGGTCCGTGGATCGGTACCAGGCCGCGGCATGCCAGAAACCGGGCCGCACAAACAAGCAAAGCCCCCTCTGTAGGATTCAAGCAGTACATGAAACCACGCCCCCTCTGGTCTGCAGAACAACTTCTCTCCACAGAACCCGTCCTTGGTGCTCAAAAGGTTGGGGACCTCTGATCTATGTCTTAATATGCACCAATGCTTGCCAGGAAGACAGAACAGTGTGATGTTGGATGGCAGACAAAAATAAGACCTTTATAGCTTGAGTCATTTTGGAGCCAAATCCCATGTTACCTTTAACTATGTACAGGGCTTTCTGTACGAGTGTCAAGGAAGGGATCTAGGTTCACTCAGAAATTGAGATCTATGGGCCTATTTCCCAAGAAAGTAGAGAAGTGTGAATAAATCTGCGTACTCCCAACTCTTTTTTCAAAATGGACAATATATCTATCCTATTTCCCCTCTTTAGACATGAATTGAGAAGAATTGAGAAGGTGCTGTACTTCCTCTTCTACTGATCCTTGAAAAATCTGAAGTGGCCCCAAGAAAAGAACCTGAAGAATTATTGCTCACCTTCTTGGTGAATTCTCCTTCAGTGCCAGGATCTGCAGGAGCCGGAGGCCAGAGCAAGCTGGGTGCAATGCACACTGCTAAATTGAATGCAGTCATCTGGTTGCCTTCAGATTGCTTTTGTATGCTGTGTAATACTCCGAAGAGATAACGCAACAGCACAACATTGGCACTTGGAAGCTGTTCCATTAGTCTAGAAACATAAAATCAACAGAAAGGGTTTCACAACTGATTCTCAAAATTCTCCTTTTTCTTAATCAGTCTTCTCAGTTCTGAAACATATTTCCCGCTAAGTAGAAGATTACTGCCCCTTGATATTTTCTGAAAAACTGAAACAGGAAATTACACAAGCAATGTTACCTGTAGATGGTTTTCATTTTCTCTTCATGGTTCCCTTCATCCATTAAGGAAACCCACTGATCACAAAGCTCAGATGAGAAGATGCTTCCTGGGATGTTACGAAGGAAATCCTTATTGAAAGAAAAGAGAAGAAAAGCACATATATGAGCAATCATTTCAAAATATACCTTTAACCTGCATTTTAAAGTATTTTAGCCCAATTTTGTGTTCCCTCTGAGTCATTTCTACCTCTGTATGGATCTTAAGAATTTTCCACTAACCAAATAATTACTTTTATGATAAACAAGAAGTCTGCTATTATATTGTCATCAACCAATATGATACATGGAAAGAGTTTGATTCATATTCCACAATGTCACCAACAAACCTTGTTCAAGTTGTCATCTCTGTGCTCAGCCTTCTGAACAAGATTCAAATACACTTGCACAAGCACTCTTGACCTCATTGGAAAAAAGATTGGTTTCCATATGAGAAATAATCAATAGAGTATTTAATTCTCTGCAAAATACCAGTTGGTAGTGAAACTTTTGATTTGGAAGCTTTGCTATTCCACTTCTCAGTTATTACTCTACAATAGCTTACACCAGTGGTTCTCAACCTTTCTAATGCTGCGACCCCATAATACAGTTCCCCATGTTGTGGTGACCCCCAACCACTTATACATCACCGGGTACCAGGGGCGTGGCCAAAGAAAAGGGGGAAAAATGGCGGACAGCCTTGTTTGGCGACCCCTGTGAAATGGTCGTTCGACCCCAAATGGGGTCCCGACCCACAGGTTGAGGACCACTGGCTTACACTATTTAAAACTATTTATTTATTAATCATCCACATAGTACTATATAATCTATTTTAGAATAGCTTCTACATAAGGATGATCAACTATTGGTAGATAAAACAGAAAGTGGGGCGGGGGGGTCAGACTCATAAAAGTGACTGGAGACAACTCAAAGAAGAAGCAGGACTGGTAAAAATTAAATTTAGATTAGTTAAATTAAAAATTAGCTAAATTAATATAATTCCCCATGTAGTTTCCCTTTTTTAGTTGCCTTAAAAATTACAATGCAGTGGTGAGTTGGGAACTCTTCTAGACACAATAACCTCAGTTTCCAACATGGTTCCCATAGCTCTCCTCTTTTAAATGGGAAGCAAGCACACAATAAGCAAAGCAATAACCAACAACAGCAAAGCTTCAGGCTGCTTACTTATTTCTAAGAAAGGTTCTGGATCCTACAAAGACTATAGAAGCATTCTTAAAAAATAAAACCAATGGCTGCATTCTGAAAGCCTAAAGTGTATCTCAGGGAAAAAAATATGGCCAGATCTCATTTTGGTAAATGCAGTCTTTTTATATCAATATCTGTGACATATTCTCAAATTCTAACCATGCCCACTAGACACCCCTCCAAAAATCTGGGGAACCCTTTCTTTGGAACAGCGTTTCTCAACGTTCGTGTGACGGCGACTCCCGTCACACGAACGTGCCACGCATGTGCGGCGCGGTGCACATGTGCGGTGGCGCCCCATGCGCGGCACACATGCGCGGCGGCACCCCATGCGCGGCACACATGCGCGGCAGCACCCCCATGTGCGGCACACATGCGCGGCAGCACCCCCATGCGCGGCGCACATGCGCAGCGGCATCTCCTGAGGGGGGGAAATGGTGGATCGCATTGTTTGGTGACCCCCGTAAAATGGTCAATCGACCCCAAATGGGGTCGCGACCCATAGGTTGAGAACCGCTGCTTTAGAATATGCCATGTATTATTCAACTTTCTCAAAATTGAGCCATGGTGGCACAAGGGTTAGAATGCAGTACTGCAGGCTATTTCTGCTGACTGCCGGCTGCCAGTAGGTTGGCAGTTCGATTCCCACCACCTCAAGCCTTCTGAGGTCGGTAAAATGAGGACCCAGATTGTTGAGGGCAATCTGCTGACTCTGTAAACTGCTTAGAGAGGGCTGTATAGCACTGTGAAGCGGTATATAACTCTAAGTGCTATTGCTATTTCTCAGAATGTAGACTAACGTTTTTGTCTTTACTAAGCTCTTTACTGGACAGGCGCCTCAGGGACACCACTTTTATCATTCTCACCTTCTCTTTCTGCTGTGAAAAGGCCCATCTACTTAGAAGAAGGAAGCTCTCTGCCATAGCTCCAGTTGTAAGCCAGATAATAAAAGAAGAGGGGGAAACTTGCAGAGCAGATGTGCCAAGAAAAAGGGTTGCCTGAGGAAAACTTTGCTCTTCAGCATACAAAGAGCAGAGCAACCCAATGTGACACCCTAGAGACCATCCTGAAAATACGAGTTGCCACATGAGGGACAGGGAAACATGCTTTTCCCTCTCTCTCTCTCTCTCTCTCTTGCTGGGTTTTAGGCACACATGATTTTTTCTTGGACTCCTCATTCTCTTTGGTTATTGCAGAAATGAAAGAACAAAAATCGCTTTGATAAAAACAAGTGCAAAACAATTATTCCTCTCCAGTTTAATTTTAAATATATCTGAAAGAAAGCCTTTAGAATGTCCATTGAATCTGGCTTCTCCCACTTCACCACTTTCCCTTGTCACGAACAAATGGTTTTTAAGTCCCGGTTTCTAAGGACTTAAATAATATACTTAAAATTTGAGAGTCTACCTGTTCAATCAATTATATGCAGAATGGAGCCCCAGTTTTTCACTGAATTCCAAAGAGAAGTTTCAAATCAAATATTCAGAGGATTCTATGCTTGGGAATATCAATGTGCTATAGAAATATCTCAGCAATAGACTAATACACATGTTGCATGTGCTACAGGTGTCTGAATTGTTTGTTAATGTTATTTTAAATCTCAATTTCAGGTAGCAGGGTTGGGAAAGACCTCCGTACGGAGTTGTCTACAAGTTCCTTGAATTAATCTTCAGAGTTCTGGATTATTTTTTTAAAAAAGGAACACGATAATCTTCATATCCAGAGACAGGCAATTTCAATTGTTACAGAGTGAAATAGTTTCCCCATCTACCTTAAACACAGAGGCTATCACAAACACGGACTCGCAAAGAAGGTGTACATCTTCACCCGAGTCAAGTTTCTCTTTCAGCTCTCTGCAGGATTTTGCATTTGCTGAGCGTCTGAAAATACCCCGAGTAAAAGGTCCCTCTTGATAGAGAAAGCAAAGCATATCCTATAAAAGAAATATATAATCAGTATATGAAACATAAATTGGCAAGTGATTTTAGCAGATGCCATATTCTGAAAAAGCATCTAGCAACAACAACAACAACAGTTTTCTCTTCACTTGCCTACTCACACACAGAAGGTTTCAGCAGTGGCCTTTCCCCAAGCTGCCTCTCTCAAGTTGGCCTATGTTTTGACTTCAACAGAAGACTCAACAATTGAGGTACTTTGGGGGAAAACATTCAAGATCTCTGTTATGTTTGCAGTGAGAACACACCTGTAGTTTTGCCTATGCCCCAGTATGGAGGAATATGGATCAGTCAGGAGTAATAGATTTCACATTAGAGCTTTTCAGTGCTGAATCTGGCTGAATACTAATAAAAAAACCCAGACTTCTTAAGAAAAAAGTTCTGAAATTATGTTATTTATCAGAGAAATGGCAAAAAGGTTGAAAATTGCACTATAGCTTACATAACAGATTTTCCTTTTTACACAAGCAGGTTCATCAATCCTTTATAAACCCCATAAAAATACTAGCATGAGGCTGACAGTAAGATCTTGCAACACTGCAACACTCTCACAATTCCACATTTATTGAACAATTAGTAGAAATTTGGCAGCACTTATGAAAGGGTTAGTCACCTTAGTCATCTCCAAACCAATTGGTATTGTCTCCTTCTGCATTCTCATCCCACATATTTTTATCCTCCCAGCTTAGTCCAGGTACCCACTACCTGGGCCTTCACAGATAAGGAAATATGATTTCTCTTGATCTTGACCCTACATTTCTGTTCATGAAGCCTAGGATTGCATTTGCCATTATTAGGGTTTTTTGGTACCCACGTTGCATTGATGGCTCATGTTCAGCTTGTGATTCACCAACATATCCAGGTCCTTTTCAAATGAACTGCGAGCCATTTCATTCTTTTAAGTCTTCCTATCCAAACTGTTTTATAATTTGTTTGAAAAATTTGCCCCGTATCAACATCAATTGATCTGAGAGGAGTTCTCTCTCCCCACCCCCTTTTGATGATAGGAATATTTATCCTTCTCTAATCCTTTGGTATTACACCATTCTTCCAGGACTTCTCAAAGATCACAGAAAATGATTCTCAGTTGTAATTTCTATTTCTATTCAGTCTGGTCTTGAACACTAAACTGATTCATGGTAACCAGATGTTCCTCAAGCCTCTTTTAGGTTCTCACTCCTTCCAAGCATCAATCCTGTTTAAATTCATTTAAGAAAATTTCCTCTTTCAGGACAATATCAAAGCAAAGTAGGAGTTAAGAAGCTCTGCTTTTTCATTGTCACCTGTTACTGTCTTTTAGCAATGTGTCTTCTCCTTCCATTTTTTTCTTATTACTATTGACAAAGCCAAAATACATTCTTTTGTTAGTCTTCAGTTTCCCTTGCAACCCTAATTTCCTTTTGCATTTCAACCTTTCTATTTGCGAATATTGGCTATCTGCTCATACACCAATTTTCCATTTCCCTTTCAACTCTTAGCTCAGTCAAATATTCCCTAGGCACCCACAATTTTCAAAGTCCCATTTTTTTCCATTGGAACGGCATATGAAGTGCAATCATATGCACTTCCTGTATCTTATTTTTCAGAAATCTCTAACCTAACCTCCTTATGCTTTCTTTGACCTGAGGTTTCTCTCCATGATATCCTGTGCAGTTTTTTTATAAGCTTGTTAAAATTGACTTTTCTAATTCTAGTATACATTCTACTCCATTCTCCAGCTTCTCTTTTTTGTGATAGTTTGAATCTCAACGTGACATGAACTCCTAAAGTTCTCACTACTTTTACTTCTTTGACCAATTCTTCCTTAGTAATAGCATCAGATTGATAAAAACCAATCTCCTTATTTCTTCTTCAACTTTTCTCAGCAAGACCACTGAGGAATTTTGGAGACCTTACATTCTTGGTCAAGCTGGTTTTCCAGCAGATGTCTTGATAGTCTCTCATTACTACCCTGTATAGTATTTCTCCTTGAAAGTTTTGTAATCTGGTCCAGAATTGTATTATCTAGGTCTTCTATTTAGTTTGGTAGTATACAATATATCTCCAAAATAAGTTCCCCAATTTTTTTATTGTTACCCATTCTTTTATTCTTACCCGAATGCTCTTAATTGGACCCTCATGCTCAGATTTCTGGATCTCTATATATGCATTGCATTCCTTAATGTATAACACCACTTCTAACAGCTGCTTCAGTTCCTTAGTGGAGAATCACCTTCACCCAGTGGTGGGATTCAGCCAGTTTGCACCACTTCTGTAGAACTGGTACCTAATTTTTTGTTGCCCAGGCCGAGAATGGACTTCTGGAAGTGGCATTCACACAGAGAACCGGTTGTTCACATATTTGAATCCCATCACTGCCTTCACCCATTTGTTCTTCCACTTCAGGACAAAAGGAAGCATCAGAATATAAGGACACTTCTTTAACAGCTCTGAACTCTGCAATATCTTTCAATCTCTCCATATCATTCACTCAGCTTTCTTCAATCTTCTGGGAGGTTTGTCCACATCCTGTCCGAGTCAAGAGATTTCCATAGGATTCAAGAATTCCTATCTTCTCTGATTAGATAGATGGAATGGAGTGGGCAATTAGGTTTTTCTCTGACTATTTCACCTGTCCAAGTTCTTCTCGGTCCCATTTTATGTTAAATAGAATCAAGGCAGGGTTATATTCAGTTTATTTCTCACACTTCCTCTTTTCTTATAACTTTGTAATGTTTTCTGAAACCCTCCCCTTAATAATTTGCTCATTCTTTCCCCATCTCCAAAGCTCTATTTTTTTTTACATATTGAATTACTATCAATGAAGTTAGGATGCAGTATCTTTTAGACTTCTCAATAAACTTTCTTGAAGCTCAGATATGCAAATATATCAAACACGCTAGGGCACACTGGCTGGGGGAATTCTGGGAGTTGAAGTCCATCCAACTTAAAAGTTGATGAAGTTGAGAATGCTGCCTTAGGTGGATGTTTAAGAGATTTATGAAATGTTCAGCTTGCCTCTTTGTTCCTTCATCTCTTTATCCTTCATTTTTAGCTATTGGTGTTGAGGTGTCCATTCTTTTCTTTTTTAAATATTTGGAACTTTGCTAATGATATAGGGTTTCCTGCCTGAGCAGAGGGTTGAACTAGAAGACCTCCAAGGTCCCTTCCAATTATTCTACTCTATTGTATTGTATTGTATTGTACTGTACTGTACTGTACTGTATTGTACTCTATGCTATGCTATGCTATGCTATTCTGAAATCAATCCTTATACTGATCAAATTTTTCAAGGCAACAACCAAAGTAGAGTTTATTATCATATTTTTAATTACACTTGACTTATCAGATTTATAAATTACAAGGTTCTTTAAAAAAACTTTAAATGTGGTATTTTGGAAGGAACCATATGTTTAGGCATGTTTCATTTTCAAATATAGTAACTGTGGGAGTTGTGGTTTATGCACAAATTCCTGTACCCTTAAGGGGAAGATAAGCACAATGCATATATATCTAATTTGTATGAAGCAATACCAAATGGTAAATCTTTGAGATATCTATGCATACATCAAAAGCTGTAAGGCAGGGGTGTCAAACTGCTGGCCCACGGGCCGGATGCATCACACGGAAACCACGCCCACCCCATTGCTAGCAATGGCAAAACATTCCCGATACGTTGTGCGACGTCACATGACATTGCGAGTTTGACATGTCTGCTGTAAGGTAAATGGCAAATGTTTCTTCTACAACCATGGTTTGAAGCAACAGTTGAACATTTACAAACCATGGTTTCAAGAAAAGCTGTATTAACTCTAATAATGCAGAAACTGTATTTATAACATGAAGAAGAAAATGAATAAAGTCATAAATAAAGTCAGGGAAGGGAAATCTTGGAAAAGGCTGCTGATGTGTAAATTATCCTTGGCAGATACATGCCAACTTATTCTTTAGCCTTCATTATCTCAATCAAAAAGCCTAAATATAACAGAAGAACAAGTTGTAATATTGGATGCTTATTAAAGTATTAGATGCTGTATACTCATCTTATTATAGTACTCCTCATAATTAACAGTATATATTCTCTTATTATGGTCTAAAATATTATGCACAGGTACCAAGTACCATACATGCTCCACTATCACAGCAATGTCTATGTGTTTATCGATTAGCTAACAATGACTTTATATTTTAATGAAATGAACAGTAATCCACAAAGCTTAATGTGGAAATAAATTTGTTCCTTCTATTTTGGATGCCAAATTTTGCTCTAACATCCTGGAAATCAGATGTTTGTTATTTGATACAAATATGGAGTGTGGAATAGGAAAATATTTATTCCATTATAATCTTAAGATAGGAGATGATTATGCAAAATCATGATGATTATGCAAAAAATGATTATGCAAAACTGCCCATTAAGAACCGTGATGGCGCAGTGGTTAGAATGCAGTATTGCAGGCTAATTCTGCCAACTGCCAGCAGTTCGATCTTGACTGGCTCAAGGTTGACTCAGCCTTCCACCCTTCTGAAGACCCAGATTGTTGGGGGGCAGTATGCTGACTCTGTAAACTGCTTAGAAAAGCTGTAAAGCACTGTGAAGCAGTATATAATTCTAAGTGCTATTGCTATTTACAATTTGAGTTGCAATTTAATTGGTTTCATTGGAAGGGAGTAAGCAAAGCTCCAAATCCCCATTGATTGTTCCTTTGCTCCTCTTGCCATAATGCAAGAGAAGCAAAGAACAGGAGTAGCAATCTATTGCCTGTGGGTGTCAATGTGTTTATAGGGACTTTCCTTGATGTTTACCATACTCTCTGTCCCACCTATATATATTTTTTTAAAAAAAGATTGGCATGTCACATATTTACTAGGTCCCACAAGAGATGGCAGAGCATTTGAAGGATCTAATTTGCCATCTATCAACTAGATTTCCCAAATCTCGTTTCATGACTGGTCAAGCTCATAATGGCAAATACGGATAGTTCTCGACTTTTAACCATTCAAGTTACAATGGCACTGAAAAAAGTGACTTATGACCCTTTTTCACACTTATGACCACTGTAGCATCCCCATGATCATGTGATCAAAATTCAGACACTTGGCAACTGACTTGTGTTTATGGCAGTTGCAGTGTCCCGGGGTCCTGTGATTACCTTTTGCAACCTTCTGACAAGCAAAGTCAATGGGGAAACAAGATTCACTTAACAACCATGTTGCTAACTTAATCGCAAAATTCACTTAACTGCCTTGTTTAGCAACAGAAGTTTTGAGTTCAATTGTGGTCGTAAGTCGAAGACTACTTGTATTTTCTCAATGAAGAGATTCATTGTTATATATTCTCAATAACCCAAATGTGTTCCATGACTATTTGTGCACACTTTTGGCTAGACAGTTGCCACCATCTGCTTGGGATGTAAAAGAGACTTACCAAGATAGGTTTGGGCAGGTTATCATTCTCACAGAGGGATGAGAGGGAAAGGCCAAACAGCTTCCCCGATTTGGAAGATGTTGGAGATGGCACTAAATGGTCCACTGGAACACCTGTTTCTCGCCAGAAGGCCCAGTTTATAATTGATCTTCTCCTTTTAAATGGCTTTTGGCTTAACTCTAAATAAAGGTAGGAAGGAAGAAAGTAAGTTTTGCTATTTGTTTATTTTAGAAGAGACTATTCTTGTGGAAAGTGAACACTATTTGTGGTTAAGGTGTTAGATGAGGGTACTGTATACTATGAACAAACTCTATACTTGTGCATTTGATTTTTGTTTTCTAAATAATGTTCTACTCTGTTGAATTTAATTGTATTAACATGAAGCCCATTTCTCTATTCAGATTGTTCTGAACTTTGTCTTTATGATGTCTGCAAATCTGACAAGCATTTCTTCTAGCTATGGTCCCAAACTGTTAATGAAAATATTAGAAGACCCATTCTTGTGGCCTTGTGGTGCCCCACTCAACACCTCCTTTAATCTGAGAAGAAACCATTGATCAGCACTGTTTTAGCATGTTTTGGATTCTCCAATACTCTGCCATTTTATAATATGACATCCTATGTTCCTCTGCAATATACAACTATAAGAGAACAACTGGGATTCACTTATCATAGGAAGAATTGATAATAAACTCAATAGGCATTCTACATGACCTGGTGGGCTACACCTACAACATTACTGGTTGAGCTGGGGGACACTTGCTGAATGAAGCCTTTTGTAAATGGGAAGACTCACCATTTAACTGATGCCCAGTGGCCAGGCGACGTGGCTTGAGAATGAACTGGCACTGAAGCTCACGGGGCAACTGTTCTATTAGGAAGGCTCCCTGAAGATCCAGAGGGCAATCCCCATCCTTTGACCCCTGCGTCTGGGGCAAAGTGTCACGAATGTGGCTCATTTTAATTCCAAAAGGATATTCATGCCCTGCTCATAAAAGAAGAGATTTTAATTTGCATATGTGTAAAACAAGTAATATTCCAAAAAACAAGATCTAACGGAATGTCACAATAATATTTATTCTTTAAAAGTGGACTGTAATCCCTAGAATAAATGTATCATACTCACTTGATTTTACACTACGTTATCCCAAAGATACTTTTTCAAAAGGCAACTGGACTGTCTTGGTTTTGCTTGAAGACATTTTGCTTTTCATCCAAGAAGCTTCTTCAGTTCTGGAGTTCAGTTCTTCAGTTCAGCTTCTTGGATGAGAAGCGAAATGTCTTTAAGCAAAACCAAGAAAGTCCAGTTGCTTTGGGACAACCAGGACCTGGAGGGGCTGAAAATCTCCATAGACATTTACACTATGTTATCTTTATGCTCAATTATCTGGTACTCAGGATTTTCAAAATCCTGTCTTCCCCTACTTTCTAGCCCAATTTCAGATTCTGTCTGCTAAAAATGGGAAATTTATGGTGTGGTTTACTTACTGACAGTGCCAGATATGTGGGCACAGGTCAGCCAAAGTGAAGGACTGACATATCCAGTGACTTTAAAGTATATCCACTATTATTTCTTAGAACAGCCATTATTATTTCTCCTACACAGGGCAAATGCACAGCATTATGTGTCAGTCAAGTCACCACTGGGCATTGAAAGCCTAGGCTTTTGTATATCTCAAATGAACAGAAATAACAGAGATTTCTGAGTTTGTAGCCCGAGGCTTGCAAAACGACATCTGGATACCATATGAAAACATGTTATTCTTTTCCTCTCCTTCATTTTCCTTGATAAGCAGTATATCCCACAGCGTAGGATAGGTTAGTGTGTATCCTTACAATGGAAGGATTTAAACTGCTTAAGGAAGCCAACTTTTGCTACTCTGGCATTCATAGCAAGTCTCCTTGTTTTCAATATAAGATAGAGAAGTCCTTATGGTGAACCAGGCAATTGGAAGAAGTATTAGGAAAGGGAGGCAGATCAAATCACTTCAGGGTCAAACCTCAGCATGGGGAACTCTATCTCTGTATTCAAATTATTAGCCTTTTAACAAGTTAAGAAGAAAAACAGTTGAAATATTGAAATATTTATATTATCTTTCTCTCTTGAAGGAAAACATGCACATGTTATTTGAAACTTTTCTCACATACAGCCAGCAGTAAGTTCAGATTAGTTGGCCCTGTATTGGTCTTTTAACAGAACTTCCAAGAACCATCAACTTGAGTCAGCTACCCAGGACAAGTATTTAGAATTAAAATACTGAGCAACAGTATACTCCAATTCAGAAAACAGAATCTGTATTCAGTAGCAGAACTGAACTCGGTCCACAGTCTTCCCATGCAACACTTTCCTGGTGAAGTTGAACATAAGTGTGATTTAAAAATTCGTGCTAAACTTTTGCAAATCTTCAAAATATCAAATGACATATCATGATCTACACCTCTAAGTCCCAACAACATTTCATAGCCAGAGGCCATACTTCAAAACAAAATTAAAATCTGTGAGTACAAATTGCAGATAACATGAAAAATATCACTAAATGAGATTCTGTCCCTTGCAATGAGCATTAGGCTTTATTTTAAAGTAATAAAACAGATTTGTTAAGTCATGTAGAAGCTTAACTCATTTATTTTGCATCTTATTTACTGAAAAAAATATAGCATTTTTGTAGTTCCCAGCCGTCAAATTTTCAGGGTTTTTTTTTCTGGCAGAAATATATATATATATATATATATATATATATATATATATATATATATATGACAGGGTGCATCAAGAAACACAAAAGGTAAATCTCCTCCCCGTCTCTTCCTTCCCTGATACAGCTGACAAAGGGAGAAAGAGCCTGTGGCCTAGAGGTTAATACAGCTGCCTAACATGCAGACAGCTCAGGTTCGAATCTCAGAAGGATTTGTCTGGTTGAAAAGAACTAAAAAGTTCGAAATAGCTATTCTAGTTCTCCCTTAATTCTTTGCTAGCAATACAAATTTTAGAAATAAATAAATAAATGTGTGTGTGTGTGTGTGTGTGTGTGTGTGTGTGTATATATATATATATATATATATATAATATATATAATATAATATATGTAGGTCTTTGGTTGTTCGGGTTTTCTCCCACGTAAAATTGGAAGTGTCTTGGCGACGTTTCGACGAAGTCCCATTCGTCATCTTCAGGCTGGTGTTTTGATGACGAATGGGACTTCGTCGAAACGTCGCCAAGACACTTCCAATTTTACGTGGGAGAAAACCCGAACAACCAAAGACCTACATACAAATACCCGCGAAAATCTCAGAAAATATATATATATATATATATATATATATATATATATGTATAAAACCATCCAAAATTCCAGCTTTATTTATCCCACTTGAATCGTTTCAAATGTATCTCAATGATCAGAGGGTCCCTTCAAGTTCTAATTGACTCCCGGGGGGGGGCTACACAAATACAGTTTATGGAATTATATAGAAAGATCACTGATTTCTTTTAGGGTGTGTTGCGACTTCCCAGCTGAGCTTTCAGTCCAAAACTCCTTGGAATTCTCCCATTCAAATATTAATCAGGCTTGACCTGTATATCTTCTCAAGTCAGATATGGTTGAAAAAGTTCTGCCATCTGTTCATAGCACATGTCAAATAGAGTTGCCATATGAAAAATCATAGATATGAAAATAGAGATTGTCATTATCTTAGATGGTTTAATAAATTGGGGCAGTGTGGTAGCTCAGTGGCTAAGACATTGGGATTTTGGGTTGGAAAGTCGACAACCCAAGTTTGAGACTCAAGTGCCACACGACAGGGTGAGCTCCCATCCTCGCCCCAGCTCCTGTCAACCTACCAGTTCGAAACAATGAAAATGCAAGTAGATAAATAGGAAAGTCACAGCGCTCCATGCTGGCCATATGACCACAGAGATGTCTTCAGACAGCCCTGGCTCAATAGCTTTGAAATGGAGATGAGCACCATCCCATCTAGTTGGCAACGACTAGCAGAGCAAAATCCACAGGGATTTCTTACTTTTTTAATAAATTGGGATTGATTCTGTGTTTTTTTTAAATAGCCACATTGAATATGTTGCCCACTGCCAAGTTGCAACAGATCCAATGGAATGGCCATGCTAACAAGAAGGGATGGTTGTGATTTGGTTTGACTGTTCCAATACTTGGCCATTGTTGGTGTTCTAAAAGCACAGGGACAGTTGGCCTGACTTTTCAGAAGTACTGCAACATCCCAATTACAATTATTTTTTTAGATCAGAACAAATATGGCCAGCATTAAGGAACTTTATGATGTTGAAGAAAAAGGAGGTATTTCAACATTAAATTCAAATCCATATTTGTCTTGTTTTAGAATAACCTGTTGTATGCGAATGTGCTTCAGTGAAGACTGCAAAGGCTAAAACATTAAAAAATGTATTGAAGTCTGTCCATGGGAGTAATGGCAGAGAAGGAACGAAAGCCAAAAAGCAACAATTTGCCTTTCAATCTGCATCTGAGCAACACCCACTGCTGATCAGAAAAGAGTTGAGACGAGTACCCTTAGCTTCCTTAAGTTCATGGGATCATATCAGAAGATACTGCATCGTGCTTTAACACTTAATGTGGGTTTCAGTAAGAGAAAACTATGTTCCACACACTTAAGAGGGAAGATATTTTTTTAAATTCATCTTCTTATAAGGCTGTCAAAATCTTATGAACAAGTATGCAAAAAAGACAAAAGAAAACAGAGGAAAAGGAAAAAACTAAATGGAAGGAGGGGTCTGGCCTTTTCTTATAAAAATAGCCAGATTACTAGTAATCTGTAGTTTGTAATGAGGAGGTAAAATGGATGTTAATGGATATTTTCAATAGGTGGTTTATGAAAGCCAGGCCCATCTTTTTGAGCCTAACAAAATAATGCGTTCTGCAGATCAGAATTAGAAATACAGTTCTCAATTGTCTGAGGTCACATCTAAATCTACAATTACAACTCGCCATAGTCACACACGCTCTCAAGAAAATATCAAAGGAAGTTGATACATTTTTCTGAGAGAATGATATAACCTCAATCGTTATCTGTATTGCTTCTGGTTTAAAAAAAAACTCCAAACCTCATTAAAAATTCCACACTCCACAACGGTCCCTTTTCTTTTACCCTAACTTAACTAGCTCAATATGCCAAAACCACAACACTTTTTTTTTTAAAAAAAAAGAAGTAAAAGTGGGACGCTACAGTAAGTTTTCTGAACTCGCAGCACTCTTTTAAAGAAAAAACATACTGTATTGGACAAAATCAGCCAAGAACATGTCATCTTATCTTCGGTAAGTGTGCCAAGAACAACTGCAGATAAGAATCGCACTTGGAACAACTGTGTGTTGCTTTTCTTTTAATGTAGTATGATAAACCATGATTTCTCCACAGGTGTTGTTGCTGATTTGCACAACATCTGAAGCCATTTATCACATTTTACAAGTCACAGTGGCTGGATATACATACAACAGTCAAACCCTAACCATTTAATGGCTTCATCCAATAAGTGAAACCAGTCTCAATTTTTCAAATATGAAATTAAATTCCTGATGAGCCTTCCTGATATTAATAGGCTCCAATTCCCATCAATCCAGCAGAAAGTCAGAGGTTACAGAAATTGTCCCCCCCCAAACAGAAGGAAATTCCCATTCTTGTTGCAGTTTATTAATTAGTTTAAAATGTATTTATTCTGATTGTCTACTTATTCAATGTCCGCAGTAAAGAGTTTCTAGATGACTTGAAAAATATCCTTAGGCTGTCTTTGAATAACAAAATCATGAGTAATGTTTAATACTATTTTTTTAGTTTAATCTATTTTGTTATAAGTTCTCAACTTATATCCATCCATTTCATTACAGTTTGAAATTATAACAGTTCTGAAAAAAGTGATTTATGACCAGTCCTTATATTTATGACTGTTGCAGTATCCATATGATCATGTGATCAAAATTTGGGCACTTGGCAACCAGCTGGTGTTTACGAGGGTTGCAGTGTTCTGAGGTCATCATTTGCAACCTTCCCAACCAGCTTCTAATAACCAAGGTCATTGGGGGAAGCCGAATTCGCTAAATGACTGTATGATTCATTTAACAACTGTGGCAAAAAAGGTTGTTAAGTCGGCATGACTCACTTAATGATTGGCTTGGTTAGCAATGGAAAGTCCAGTTGGAATTATGGTTATAGGTTGTTATTTTGTAGCTGTTATTGACTCTGAAACCCTTGAAGGAACATAATACAAAGCAAATTCTACATCATTAAGTATACCCTTTCCATGTACTTACCAATAAGAGGGTAAGGGGCGTCTTCTTTCCCAGAATTAACCCACAGCTGATAATCCTTTTCAGAACCCTTTAAAAATACAACCCTACATCTGTTAGAATGAACAGAAAGCTGATTTATTTAAAATTATAAATTAAAACATGTGTCCTTAACACAACTGTTCTAGACTACAGCAGAGGTCACTGACATTTAACAGAAATCAAATAGCAGAACAGTTAAATATTTACACTATTGGCACATCTGTTGTAATATGTGCCCCAACAGAGCTTTTGACAGGCTCCCTACACATTTGGGTAAAAACACTAAAGGCTGTATTTTGACCAGGCGTGACAATTGTATGCAATCTAAGTGCTATGGAGAGGGTTTGACTGCAGCTGCTGTTTCCACATATGGAACTCTACAGACTGTGGTGACATGGCATGACTGCGAACTGAAAAGGAAGGAAATGAAAGGGGAAAAGAGTAAAAAACATAGTATTTCTTCCATCTTGAAATTTGTTTCCATTCCAATTGATTTCATGCTTCCAGCTCTCCTTTGCAAAGATTTCTAATAAGCTGGAACACGTCAGAACACTCTTTTCTAAAAACAGTATGTTCACAAAGCCAAAATTGAACAACACAAAAGAGAGTGAATATGGGGTGCCTTGTGGATTCACTAAGCCACCAGACAGCAGGAACTATAAAAGAATACAGAGCTACACTAAAAACCAAACAAACAAATTTCTAGAATATACCCTGTGCCAATAACCAGTGAGGCTTAAATTATTTTCATTACTGGTATTTCTATACTATTCTACTACAAAATGATCCCAAGTTAAACTCCTGATCTGTATCATTCTACTGAGTTACCCTTCTAGTTTTTAGATCAGAATATGAGAGATTGCAGACAGAAAATTAAACAATCTCCCTTTAAATGTGTCCCATTTCCCCCCTGGGCAAAACAGAAAGGAAGTAGAAGATAAAGAGGGAACACTTCTGGTTCACCTTTCCAGGAAACAGCTGATGAAAATACGGATTGGAATGTTTGGTGCTCACAATGGGAAAGCTTTCAGCCAGTCTCACATTTGAAGCAATGCACCAACAGACTAGCTATCAATGGGGGGCTTGGCCTGTTTGGATCAAAAACTCTGTTTCTCTCTCTCTCTCTCTCTCTCTCTCTCTCTCTCTCTCTCTCTCTCTCTCTCTCTCACTCACACACACACACACACACACACACACACACACCCTTGGGATGGCTAACTAACCATTGAAGGATCTTTTATGCTCTCTGCCCTTGGTTGTTTTTTTGCAGACCTTTCAGTACCAATAATGATACATCTGCAAAAAAACAACCAAGCATCCCTAATTTTAACCCTGAGCTACAAATATTCTTCTTTATTGGTAACTACTCATTGTCCCAAAGGTGCTTTTTCCAAAAGGCAAATGGACTTTTTTTGGTGATTTTTCTTTTTTAAAAAATGTTAGCTTCTCTTCCAAGAAGCTTCTTCCGTTCAGTTCTTCATCTTTTTGGATGAGGAGTGAAACATTTTCAAATAAAAAAAAAAAGAAACAAGAAAATCCAGTTGCCTTTTAGAAAAAGCACCTTTGGGAGAACCGTGATCAGGACGATTAAGAATCTCCATAGACATCTAACCATTCAATTGCTAGAATTGGGTATGTCTAGTTTAACGAAGAGAAGGACAAGGGGGGACATGATAGCAGTATTCCAATATCTCAGGGGCTGCCATAAAGAAGAGGGAATTAAGCTATTTTCCAAAGCACCTGAAGGCAGGACAAGAAGCAACGGGTGGAAACTAATCAAGGAGAGAAGCAACCTAGAACTAAGGAGAAACTTCCTGACAGTGAGAACAATTAATCAGTGGAACAGCCTGCCTCCAGAAGCAGTAAATGCTCCAACACTGGAAGTTTTTAAAAAGAGACTGGACAGCCATTTGTCTGAAATGGTGTTGGGTTTCCTGCCTGAGCAGGGGGTTGGATTAGATGACCTCCAAGGTCCCTTCCAACTTTACTACTATTACTATCCATTCAGAGTGATTCAGAGTCTTTTTTTCCATACAAGAAAAAAATCCACTGTTTCTTAGCATACCAGAGCATTCCAGGATCTTAGGTGATATTAGCTACACTGTTTAGGCATTTTTTGGCACTGGATGAAAATGTCCTTTAACAAATTGCTTACTTGTTTGGAATGGGGAATTCCTAGTAATTTTTGCGTGGGTGTTCCTAAAATAGAAGCATTATTGGAACTTCATGCAGCTGAAAGTATTGTGTTGTATACTGTTGAAAATGGGGGAGGGGGGAGAAAGCATCAAAAGAGGAGAGACAATAGTAATTGGTACTGCAATCAAACCCTCCAATTGCAATGCTGCAATCTCATATGTCTCTTTTAGCCTCCTCATTTATGCTAGTGGCTAGAAGGCAGCAATCAGTTGGGGATCCCCAATCAGTTGGGGATATCTTCAACAGGTAGGAGACAGCCCCATTCTGCTTAACTTTCCATTATTTTTTGGGTGGGGGGCTATTTTGAAATGGAAGGAGGAACTGTCAAGCCCCAAGGGGCTTGCCATTCGGTGGGGGGGGAAAGGAGCGAACAACCCCACCCCCACCTACACGCCGAACCGGCACCAGCCCGCACCGCCACAACCGCTCGCCAGGAGGAGGGGAACAACCTGCTGCCTCCCGGCCGATCCCCAATACCGCGGCTACGAGACGCTCCGCTGCTCAGCTGGGACGCGGAGAGGCACCGGCAGCTGGGAGGCAGCCTGCCGCCTCCCGACCGTCCCTCGGGGTCAGAGGACTATTTTGAAAGTGCAGGCTGGACTGACTGATGCTTGCTGATCAATCCACTTTTTCAAGACTTCAGAAATACTGATTAGGTGTCTAGGAATCTGAGCTATACTTTCAAATTTGTCTGTGGTTATGAGAACTTCCTGACTTAAGGAAATTTGACAGATGTTAATAGGATAGCTGACAGCCAGTCAAATAGTTACCAAAGTGCAATAGACAAGAAATAGCTTTGGATCAAATGAAGCAAAATACAGAAACGCTAATGAAGGAATTGATCTTCTACTATAGTGTACTATTCAAGGATGCTTTTAAGCAAAGACAGTTCATATTCTCTACTTAACAGAGGAGGGAAAAAATTGAATCCAAGCAATATATTTCCTCCTCTGAATTAAGTACTTTCTTTTTCCCAGTAATTATTTTTCAAGATGGCCCAACTTGTATAATGCAAAATGATGTTTTTCAGGCATCAGGATTACTTTATCATACTGCGAACATTATTTGCCAACATAAATAAACAAATAAAAATAAACAATCAATCTCACATTAATTCCAAGCTGCTGCAGGGCCAAGAGGATCACATCATTTGCTGTGTTCAGGTTAGTAATGGTTAAGGTTTTTGACTGTGAAGAAGAAAGAGAAACATCCAAACCTGCATTATTGCTCAAAAGAAAAACAGCTGAAAATGTCAGCCATAATTTGGGCATGACAACTAACTTATATGTAAGCTCAAAGGATGAAAAACAAAAACCAAAGATAGATGCTCTAACTGAATGTAAACTAGACCTGCATAAAAGATCTTGGCAAAGGGTTTTTTAAATATTGTCTTATTTTGACATTTTAAATAATAAGGGATTTATTTACACATTGCCTGTAGTTACACCTCATGCCATATTGCATTTCAGCCCAAAGTACATAAGCAACAGCGGGTTTAGAGCTGGTAGACATTTTCTACTCTCTTTACAGAAAAAAATAAGGAACATGAAAGTTTTTCCTTTTACCTTCCCTTAAGTAAATGTTTTTGTACGGTCTACTATGACAAAATGTGGTAAGCACCAATGTTTTACTTTTAAAAAATTAATATTATTCCAGGACTTAAGCCACAATATTAACCTTCGTTCCTAGTTTGTGTGACACAAGAAGCTCTAGTTAATTAAAACTTGATTCTGAACTCCTCTAAGTTGGTGGGGGTGACTTCTTTCTAGATTCATTCAGTGTATCTTGTAAACACAGCCGATAAGTCTTTCAAATACTATGATCCATAATTTCAATCCCTCTCAGAAAGAATTTCTAACAAGTGCAAAATCTTAACCAGGAGCTCTTAAGAGAGTTATTTAAGTCAGAAACATTCTTTCTGGGAGAAAGATCATCCTCTTTTAAATCAAAGTATATATTAAACATTTCACGATTAAGTTCAAAACCAGCCACAAAACTTCCAATTTCAAAAGTCTCTGAGAGTTTCCTTTTCGCCAACTGTTCAAAATAGCCTTCTGCCACAGAGATGCAGAAAATTATACAGTACGGTGCCACAGAAGGTAAACTGAAGCAGTATGAACTCAAAGTCTATTTTTGCTCCAGGATGCACCTGAATAATTATGACATGAACAAAACAAAGCTAACATTTCTGCAAAGTAGTGATATCTGGCACCCAGCAGTAGGTCAGCAAATTTGCATACAGCCTGCCTTTGGTGAGAATGTGATAAAGTAATTTGGGTTGCTTATGTCATCTCTCCCTCCACTTAACCCAATTTGCAGATAAAATGAAGCTGATCCCCTGAGATGTCCAGCTGTTCTAGCTGGGGGGAAAAGCAATCCACAAATCATACATATTTTTAAAAGCCACTCTATTGCCTCCTCACTAGTAGTTCCAATACTATTATATTGTATTTTTAAGAATGACTGGTCCTGCAGAGAAATACGCATCTGTTCTGCATTGTTGTCTTTAACCTTAGTTCTGTGGGTCCCAAAGCATATCCCTTGTTTAGGAAAGAGTGCTAGCACTACTAGCCACAGTAGTAAATCAAAAATCTGAGGAATCAGACAGAATGGTCAAACAAACAGAAAAGATTGTGAATTCTGTGTACAATTCAAAAAGGCATCATCTGTTTCTTCACAGCTGCTTCTGAAGAAGCAGATAAAACATTTGCGTTGGACACACTCCTCATTCAAACTGGGAGTTAGAAACACTTACATATACGCAATTTCCAATATCCTTTGCAAGAATCTTCAACGGAATACTCTTGGGATAGTCTTTTGCTTTCTCTTCTTTGATTCGACTGTCGAAGCAAGCAAAAATCGAATTAAACTTTGTAAGTAAATTCACAAAACAGAAGTGACAATGCTGTAAACATTAAGGAAAGATTCTTTAGCAAAGCTAGCTAAGAAGCCTGTAGGATATTTCCTTAAACAAGATTATTTCCTTTAAATAGATCATTTTTTTCATGTTATGTAACAAAACTGTATTCAATCAAATTTAGTCACCTTATTCATCTCTCAGTCTTTCTCATTTATGGCTGCATTTCTAAAGACCATAAAATAACCTCATTTAGACTACACTTAGGGACCACAATGTATCCACAGACACATTTCTCAGCATTTCTCAGACATTTTTCCCCAACTGATTCTTATATTTTTTTAAAAATATAGAAGCTGACATAGTACAAAGGAACCACTATCCTCAAGCATCAACTTCATATCTAAGAACAAGAATTTCTAAGCAAAAACTCCATAAATTTTCTTCCAACATAAGAATAATGGAAAGAACGTCTAAGCCAGGGGGTCCTTGATCTTGGCAACTTTAAGACTTGTGGACTTCAACTCCCAGAAGTCCTCAGCCAGCTTTGCTGAGTTGAAATCCACAAGTCTTAAAGTTGCCAAGGTTGAGGACCCCTGGTCTAAGCTCTTTTTGTTTTATTTTTAAAAAGAAATATGCTTACCTGCCTGAAAAAAGAAAGTAAGCTATGGTAGAACAGAGTAGCGTTGGTGACCAGAAGCATTATGTTAATTCAGTTCTACATAACTGTACTCTGCCCAGATTTTGGAAACTGTTCAGTAAGTTCACATATTCTCAAAATTTCAAATGTGTCCACTAGCTCAAAAATAAGCTGGATATCTCTGAACTACACTCACTAAAATGAGAAACTATCTAAAGTTTGATCTAAATTAGATAGACAAGAGTTTGCAGCAACTGTTTTGAATTCAAACAGGTTAGCTCTGACCTTGCTGGAAGTGTTCCATACTAGAATGTTAGGCAGTGTCAGAATATTTCCAGTAAATTAAAGGCAGCTGTTTCAAATTTAAATCAGGATGCTTTGTGCTTGAACCTTTTCAAATACAAATTTTGCACCTGGCTAACTTAGCAATGACTTCCTAATATGAATACAGAAAAAGAAAAGTACCTTTGAAGGGAAATGAACCACTTCTCTTTTTGCTCCACGGAACTGAAATAATTAAGAACATGTTTTTAAACTTTAGCAAATCAGTTCCAAATGGAATCTCTTTACTGTATAAACCAACTTAGATAACAGTTCAGAATAGGTGAATAGAGTAGCAAATAAACTACCAGAGTAAAATATGCAAATCTGCTAAGCAAGGAGTCAACAGGCAAAGACTCTTTGAAAATGAAAATGAAAAGAAAAAAAATAACAGTAAACCCAGACTGCAATGTTATTTCTATAAAAAGTCCTTCAGGTTTCCATCCAGAACAGAAACTTATTCTGCTACTGAGATGTCACTAAGGCTCACACAAACTGCTTTGTGAGTGGAACATACATTGTTGAAGAACTTTAATCATATTGCCTAGTTTAATTTTAAAATTTGTATTCCTTTGTAATTGATCCCTAGACCCAACAAGCTGAAAACTACAAAGGATCAAAATATATAGAGTAGATATTTTGGAGAATGTAATTAACTTTTATAGTTAATTACTATTTTCTGCATTGGTTATGCCACATTTAGAATTTCCTCTTTCACAGAGATGCCAACATTTAAAGTTGGACTATTTCAAAGTCAACATGAGAGTCAGGGAAGAATATCCATTAAAACGTATTTCTTCATTGATACAAGGGATCAAATAACAATCACATTATCACTGTAAATCAGTATCTATTTTCTCAAACTGTGAAATAAACTGAAGTAAATCAAACTGTGAAATCTCTTAGTGTAAATGGATTGTAGATTCTGAGGGGAAAGGAATACTGTAGATATAGTACAGTATGTCATATAGAATGTTTCTGTAGGGATTGACTTTTTCCCCCCTTACATTCAATCATATCCAGGTCTTGGAAACTGACAAGTCCCTGAGGTTTTTTTGGCAAGGTTTTGCAGAAGTAATTTGCCCTTGTCTCATTCCTAGGGCTGAAAGAGATTGACTGACCCAAGGTCACCAGGTACTGATATAATCACACATAAAGCTGTTTGCCTGACTACCAATTTATTTCAATGTCTTGGTTGTTAAAATCCTAAACCAGGGGTCTTCAGACTTGACCCTTTTATGACTTGTGGACTTCAACTCCCAGAATTCTTCAGCCAGCGTGCTTGATGGAGGAATTCTGGGAGTTGAAGTCCACAAGTCATAAAAGGGCCAGGTTTGAAGACCCCTGTCCTAAACATTATTAAACCAGAATACCTCCAAAAAGCACCTCCTTCTAATCCAGACATGTTAAACACAAGGCCCGGGGGCCGGATGCACCCTGCAAAGTGGTTTCATGTGGCCCGCGAAGCCATTCTGGAAACAGTGAGGGAACGGCCCCCACTGCCTTGGCCCTGGCCCAGGCTGTCCAGGAGCCAATGTACAATTTTGTGGTGGCCATCTATGCTGAAACGCATTCAGTCTTAGCTCCATAAGCTCCCCCCCCCCACATGGCCTGAGAGGAACAGTGAAGCTCCTCCAGTGGACCATGCCTCAGCACTTGCCCTAGTCCCACCCCCTTCTGCCAGAGACCCTCAGATCTATCCCACTTCTGCCCAGGCCCCCACAGGCACCCTTGATGCGAACGATGTAGAGCTGGCCACACCCACCCAGTAGGCCACATCCACTACATCCACACCCACCCAAAAGGCCGTACCCACCCTGGCCACACCCACCCAGCCCCCTGAGGGCAACTGCTATGCTGATGTGGCCCTCAATGAAATTGAGTTTGACACCCCTGTTCTAATCCATAAATTGCCCTTTAAAAAGCTTCTATGACAAGTTCTAATTGTTTATAAATAGGTACATCCAATTTTCATGGGTCTCTTCTGCTGCAGATGTTGTGTCTTTAATTATCTCCTCCCATCCATCTATCACAAATAGTCTGGGAGGATAAATAAACTTTTAAAATTCTGGGAATATGGCAAAATGAGATACCTTGATTCGAATCAGCATAACTGCATTCTGCTAAAAGTTAAGCTACAATTTGATGCAAACCCTGATCCTCATTCTAAAGTTTCATTCATAAGATGAGTACGGATCCACTTTTCTTTAAACTCAATAACTGAATATTAATGGTTTCAGAATATAGCTTTGACACCCAAGGTAACTCTAAGCCAGTGGTTCTCAACCTGTGGGTCGGGACCCCATTTGGGGCCGAACGACCATTTCACGGGGGTCGCCAAACAACGCAGTCCGCCATTTTTTCCCCCTTTTCCTTAGCTGTGCTACTCCCTTTTATTCTATTGGCTTTTGAAAGCCAATAGAATAGACTCTCTTGAATAGAGTCTAATTCTATTGGCTTTCAAAAGCCAATAGGAATTGTCCAGGCTGTCTCTGCCCTGCTGAGCCCGCCAAAAGTCCCATTCTGCAAACGGTGCTGCACCAGTTGAGTAGTCCTCGACTTACGACCGGTTGAGTAGTCCTTGACTTACGACCGGTTGGGGGTCGCGGCATTAAAAAGGTTGAGAACCACTGCTCTAAGCAGTGACTCAGTTGGATATATGCAAAAAGGTAAAGGGAAAGTTTTCCCTGCCAGTCACGTCCGATTCTAGGGCACAATGCCCATCTCTGTTTCTTGGCCGAGGGAGCCAGCATTGTACAAAGACAATTTCTGTAGTCATGTGGCCAGCATGGCTATATGCCGAGACACACAGAATGCTGTTACCCTCCCACCAAAGTGGTACATAATTATCTACTCACATTTGCATGCTTTCAAACTGCTAGGTGGGCAGGAGCTGAGGCAAGAAATGGGAGCTCGCCCCATTGCATGGAGCTTTGGTCTTGAACCGGGGCTGTCAGCTCTCCAGCTGACAAGCTCAGCATCCTTAACTGCTGAGCCATCGCACCCCTGGATATATGCAACGATAGAGAAATCAATAAAAAGAATCTCTTGTACCTGAAACTAGCGACACAGTTGGTTGTGGGCCATCCCAAAACAAAAGATCGATCCGCATTAGTGCTGCTCTCACAGACCTCTTCCAAGCAAGATGCAGTCCACATTTCAGAGAGACGTGCCTGGCTCTTCAGTTTGAAATGCAACTGGGACCTGCAATTAAAAAAAGATATATTTTTATCTAGAAAAGTATAAAGAAAGAAACAAAAATATAAGGGGCATACATGTTCTCTCTCTCTCTCCCTCTCTCTCTCACACACACAGAGTGCTACAAAGCATTTCAGTTGTTATATTTCAATATCATCCACAACTAGTCTATACTGATAAGTAATTCATCTGTTAAGTTGGTAACACTACCAATAGAGCAGGAAATTAGGGCCCATTCATTTTATCTTTTCAGCGCTAAACAATATGCCCAGGAATCCATATATGGGATCTCAAACCATTCTGAAAATACACAAATCGGACATACTTCCGACTCTGATGGAGAGCCATTATACATAAAATGAAATGTCCCATTTGCCTAGATTACAGTTGGAGGCCATGCTTTAGATGTTGGCTATTGAACAAATGACAAATGGTGGCAGGAATGCTTCTAAAATTTCTAGAACTGCCCTGCCCTAAACTGGCCACTGGTCTTTTGGGAAAGACTGAAATTCTTTTTACCAAAGCATGTTTCATTATGTTTACTGTAGCTTCCTTCTTTACATTCCAGTTAAACCTTTCTTATTTTAGAGTTTTTTTTACTAATATTAGCAGACCATAAAGAGACAAGGAAAGAAAATCAAATTATTTATCCTTAGAGGTATGGGCATTTTCCAAATTTGTTTAAGCTATAGCATAGACCTCCCATCGATCACATGCAGCTCTTTAGGTCTCAAATATGGATGCCTTTAAACTTTAAGGATTGCAGAGGACTGGCTTATATTGATAATGCTCTATTTTTCTAAAAACATTTACTTTTAAGTAGCTTTTTTTTTTTGGCCTGGAGAAATTGGCAGCAGCCCAAATATCCACAGATGCAAACACGGTTCTGCACAAAATTCACTGGCAGCTGCTGTCTGCATGATGTCCACAGAAATAAAGGAAGACTCAAATACTTTTCTTCCATTACACAATTCCCCTAAGTTCCATTCTGACAATTCCAAATCAATTGTTTTTGGATTAGAAATTCTCCGGGGAGGAGGGGGGCGGGTGAACTGATGCAGAATCCTGTGCCAATACCTCAATATGGCTTTACAGATCTTTAACTCTGTACCTCACTGATTTGTGTAGAAACTTAGGTGAGATGGGCAGTGTAGATATGTGACAAATAAACAAACCAATGAATAAACGTCCTTTTTATACAGTTCCATGAATCAGCACATTACAGGTAATCCTCGACTTACAACCACAATTGAGCCCAACATTTCTGTTGCTAAGTGAGACATTTGTTAAATGAATTTTGCCCCATTTTACGATCTTTCTTGCCATAGTTGTTCAGCCAATCCCTGCAGTTGATAACGTCAATAGAAATAGAATAGAAATAGAATTCTTTATTGGCCAAGTGTGATTGGACACATATGGAATTTATCTCTGGTGCCATAACCCAGTTGTTAAGTGAATCTGGCTACCCCATTGATTTTGCTAGTCAGAAGGTCTCAAAAGGTGATCACGGGGCCTTGGGACACAGCGACGGTCATAAATATGAACCGGTTGCCAAGAATCTGAATTTTGATCACATGATCATGAGGATGCTGTAAAAGTCATATGAAACACGGTCATAATCACATTTTTTAGTGCCATGGTAACTTTGAATGATCGCTAAACAAACTGCTGTAAGCCGAAGACTACCTGTACACATTCTGCCAGGACAATGATGGTGAACCTTTTAGAGACCGAGTGCCCAAAAATTGGCTCTGCCCCTGCTCCACCCCCTGCTCCGCATTCATCCCGCCTGCCTGCAGGGCCACTCACCGCCTGCAGGGCCCGCTGCAGATCGCCTAGCAGCACCATGGTAGCCACACCCTCTGCCCATGCCCCACAGCATCATCTATGCGCGATGGAGCGTGAGGACAGAGTCTTGTCTACGCTGCCTGGCTGCCATGTCTTTGACTGCACTGCTCCGCGTGGGCCACACTCGGGGCAACCCTTCTCCAGGAGGATGTCACAGTGGGAGGCAAGGCTGGGGCAACGGCACGTGTGTCCACAGAGAGGACTACGAGTGCCGCCTCTGGCACCTGTGCCATAGGTTCACCACCACTGTGTTAGGACAATAAGTGATTTTCAAGTCCAAGTAAGCACTGATGAAACACCTTCTACAATTATGGGATAAGAGAAATATAATTTTCTTGCAATCTCTCAAGGATTTAATCCTTTTTTAGAAAAATAAAGGGTGAAGATTCAAACAAAGTGCATGCACTCAAATAAATAGGGATTAAAAGCAGGGGTTCTATGAGATAGATAGAAAATATATGCGAACCGGCCCATTTTGCCTCATAGAGCTGTCTTGACTCCAATTATTGGCATGCCTATCTTTGAGAGGGTGGGAAAGCCCCTCCCCTTCCATTGACTACAATATAAAATGTGGAAACAGACTATTTTCCTCCTTCTAAGGTTCCCACAGTGATCAATTCATATAACATGGCAGCTCTAATGCAGAACCCAGAAGCGGCTTCTCACTTCATGAAGTTGTACTAAAAGGGAGCTTTGTTGAAACCTTGATTAAAATACACCATTTAAGACTTCACACTGGCTTATTGTGAGGGCTGAGGTTAGCAAGGTTGGAGTCAAGACGAGAAAAGACCAGCACGTAAGCATGTCTTCTGCATTCCATCCTGGAAAATTAGCAGCCAAAAGTCCATTTTCACCAAAGATAAAGACTTAGGATTTAATGAGCATGACACATTCATATATCCATGTATTTCTGTATTCTACAGATATTGTTCTCCTGCATAGATATGACTACTGCAATAACAATTAACCAGTCACTGAGCACAGGGTCAAAATAGCTTGAGAATTATGAACAAAGCTCCATGCTTCCATGAAGTCTGATACCTATGAATTAAAAATTTGGTGTCATTGTGTATCCTTCCACTTTCACAAAGCCAAGGGAGGCTCATTTGCCTTTAAGGATAATAAGGGAGAAAAAGTAGAACAACGGATTGTCTCTCCCCTCTTGGAGGCTGCATGGAAGATTTCTGTGTTGAAGAGCACAGGAAAGCCTCAGTACAAAGATACGGCCTTCATTTCTTCCAAACTGGTGATAATGGAATGAGTCTGTTTCCTTTTCTGGCATTTTAACTAATTTGGTTTTCAACAAAACTTTGTCTTCTGGACAGGGCTGCACAATGTCTTACCTAGTAAATTGACGATAGGTGGTCCTCCACTTACAATCATTCATTTAATGACCATTCAAATTTATAACTGCAATAAAAAAGGGCTATGCCATCGTTCCTCACACATGATCAAAATTTATATGCAAATGACAACTGGCATGACAAATGCAGCTTTCCAGGGTCATGTGATCACCATCTGTGGCCCTCCCAGCCAGCTTTTGACAAGCAAAGTTAATGGGGAAAGGCAGATTCACTTAACAACTGCAGCGATTCACTCAACAACTGTGGCAAAAAAGGTTGTAAAGTCAGGTGCGACTCACTTAACCACGGCCTTGCTTAACAACAGAAATTCTGGTCCTTGAGGACTACCTGTACCTCTCAGAATTGGAAGATCTGATGTGAAAGTAGATTCACCTAAAAAAAATGAACTTTAATACTCACATAAAATGTTCCAAGGGAGAAAGAAGGCAATATAATGATGTTTATTAGCATGCAAATCAGAGAAAATACCAGTTCTTAAAATAACAACTGTGAAGAACAAAAATGTCTGCCTGGAAAGATCATCCAGTCCTATTAACATAACTTTTTTTTCACGAAGTAATTTATTAATACTTTGTTAGCAAAGCATGTGAAGGACAGGGCTGTTATGCTCAGTGCTTTGTTGTGTATAACCAATTATTGCTTTAGGACATAATTACATGTCATTAGACATCAGTGGCTGATTTTTTTTTTCACCCAGGGAAAAGCAGTTTTAGGAGTAGCACTGGAACAAAACAAAACAAAAAAAAACCCCTCTGCTCAAATGAGATTGGAGTTCACCTATAGAAAGTAAAACTGGAACAGGAAAAATAAGCAGATACATAAATCAGTTCTTATTTAGTTTGAAAAAAAAACAAAACCCTGACCCTTACACTGATTCTATCTCTGGAACAGGTTTCCTGGAAGTGTGGTGTTTTATAAGCATGTACATAATGTTTTGTCTTCCTTGTGTTTCTGAATTAACAGAAAGTGTTTGGAAGATGTTCCTAAACACAACAGAGCCTCAATAAGCTGTTTGTGTGCAATCAAGCTTGACACTGATCTTAGATTATTCATCTGACCATTCACTATTAAATCAAAGTTACGAACTAGAACTGACATATCAGCCTTGTTGTACTGCAGTATTTATAGCTATAGACAAAACTGAGTGACAATTCATGTGCAGTTATGCATAAAAACTATGAAGGAAAAGCCATAATTGAAAATCTTTCTTTGCCAAAGAATCAGGAGTGGTAGGCTGAATGAGTATCTTGAACTTGTGGCCATGCTTGTGGCCTGACAGATTATATCCCAGAGTTCTGAAGGAGCTGGCAGATGTTATCTTAGAACCATTGCACCACATCTTTCAAAAATCCTGGAGCACCGGGGAAGTACCTGAGGATTGGAAAAGGGCTGATGTGGTCCCCATTTTCAAGAAAGGAAAAAAAAACGGACCGAGAAAACTACAGACCTAATCAGTTTAACATCAATACCTAGGAAGATCCTAGAAAAGATAATAAAAAAACAGAACTGCGAACAACTAGAGGCAAAGTTATAACTAGTAGCCAGCATGGGTTTATTAAAAACAGATCATGCCAAACCAATCTTATTTCATTCTTCGACAAAGTGACTAAACTACCTAATAGACCAGTGAAATGCTGTGGACATAGTATACTTAGACTTCAGTAAGGCATTTGATAAAGTGGACCACAATCTACTCCTTGATAAGCTAGAAACCCTTCCAACTTTACTATTATTATTATTATTATTATTATTATTATTATTATTATTATTATTATTAACATCACCGCCAGATGGATCTGTAGCTGGCTGGCAAATGAGTAGTCCTCAATGTCACTACATCCACAAGGAAAGAAGCAGTGGATTACCACAAAGATCCATCTAAGGCCCAGTACTCCTCAATATCTTCATAAATGACTTAGATGAGGGAATTGAAGGGGAACTCATCAAATTTGCAGATGACACCAAACTGGCAGGAGGAGCCAACACCCCAGAAGACAAACTCAGGATCCAAAAAGATCTTGGCAAACTTGAACAATGGGCCCTATCCAACAAAATGAGTTTCAATGTGGAGAAAAGCAAAGTTTTACATTTAGGCAGGAAAAACCAAAGGTACAAGTACAGATTGGGCAAGACCTGCATTAAAAACAGTGAGATGGACCTGTTAAGTGGACCTGTTAAGTGGACGATCACTTAACCACGAGCCAGCAATGTGCAGCAGCAGCCAAAAAAGCCAATACAATACAGAGACATAGAATCAAGATCATGCGATGTAATAGTACCACTTTATAAAACCCTACTAAGACCACACCTGGAATACTGCAGCCAGCACCATATCACAAAAAAGATGTTGAGAGTTTGGAAAAAATTCAGAGAAGATCAACTAAGATGATCAAAGGCCTGGAGACTAAAACATACGAAGAACGGTTGCAGGACTTGGGTTTGGCTAGTCTAAAGAAAAGAAGAAATAGGGAAGACATGATAGCAGTATTCCAGTATTTGAGGGGCTGCCACAAAGAAGAAGGGGTCACGTTATTCACCAAAGCACCAGAGGGCAGGGCAAGAAACAATGGTTGGAAACTGATCAAAGAGAGAAGCAATCTAGAATTAAGGAGAAACTTCCTGACAGTGAGGACAATTAACCAGTGGAACAGCTTGCCTCCAGAAGTCGTGGGTGTTCCATCACTGGAGATTTTTAAGAAGAGGCTAGACAATCACTTGTCTGAGATGGTATGGTTCTCCTGCTTGAGCAGGGGGCTGGACTAGAAGACCCCCAAGATCCCTTCCAGCTCTATTCTATTCTCTATGAAAAAGCAATTATGTAAACAGTTGAGGACAGTCAGAATAGAATCTTTCCATTATTATTTGGGGGATAGCTAGTAATTAATCTACTAGTAAGCTTCATAAAAACATCTGGAGGGCCACTGTTAAAAAAATACAGGACTAGACAGTACCAATCCAACAATGCAATTTTTATTTTCTTCAGTCAGCTGAAGGAAAGTACATGGGAATGAACCATGCATGCAACCCTCCCGCATATTGAATTATATGTAAGAATATTTGAATGTTGTGTATTTTCCCAGTGATAATCTCAGTTGACAAAAAAAAGTCAATAACAATCTCTCAACATCTTCCCCTTTGGTTTTAATGGTAGATAGTCAACCTAGATGTTAAAGCTTCTTGGCTTAATCTAATATCTCTGTTTAGCGAATACCTAGTTACCTTTATAAAAGTGTGGGGAGGGGACCTTCTCTGAAAAGATGGAGAGGAAGTTTGAGCAAACAATGCTCCAAATGACATGTGACCCCCTTAAACACAGTTAAACATGTAACCTGATGTCACTGATGAGACATCTCTTCTGAAGCCCTGAAAAATATTTGTAATTGTACAGATAAATGCTAAATCTAAGTTCTTAGCAGAACATAGCTAGACTGACTCTCTGTGCAAACCATAAAAGGATATTTCCATTTCCAGTAACTTAGGACTGTATAAGGCCATACAACAGCAAGAGAAGAATTGATTTCTTTTTTCATTTAGCTTCAATTTACAGTAGTTACTAGTTTGAAGAAGCATTCTCAAACATCACGTTAGACACAGGTAAATGAAGGGGCTTTCTGAAGCTTCACATTCAACTACTTAACAGCTACTAGCATCATTGAGGTTTTAAAGCCACAAGCAAAGTAGAAGGAAACAGAATGGTAACAGGCGCTGGAATCCTCTGAGTTCCCAATCCCCTGCAAGTGAATTTCACCCTGCTTGATTATTATCTTGTGAAGAAGCAAACACATGTCACAGCATTCAGTCTTTCTGCCCTCATCACAAAACAAATGGGACTCCTCTCTTTTTCAGATGAGCACATTGGTTAATAATGAAAACCCACACAGAATTACAAAGGCTATTAACTTTTGCCAACATTCTGCTTGCATCTAATCTCCTTTTGTATAATTAAAAGAAATCTAAATGTCAGTAAGCAAAGCAAAGGAATTTTGAACCTCTCACCAACTCCATAATATAAAATATAGTAAGAGATGCTGACTGTTATCAAGAGGACATATTCTGCAAGGAAACTTACTTGGATTTAGCAACCACAAGAATATCAGTAAAGAGGAACAGGTGTCTCTCCTGAGTCTGCAGACCTGTCTTCAGTTGTACATGTCCTTCCAAAAGGAATGCTCGAGTTGGAGAAAGGAAGGACTGTACCAGTGGACATGTCTCCGGACTGATTGGGGAGAAGCAGCCTTCCCTGTTATAAAATCAAAAGGAACAATCTATGAGTCAAACTGAAGTCTGATTTTTTAAGAATATAATGCTCTTATCCATTGTTGGTCTTCTACAGAACTTCATTAATTCACATGCATTTATTATTGGCATTTATAACATCTGGGGAGAAAGTTTATTATAGTCAGTCCTTAATTTTGCAACCTAATGGGGGAGGAGCTCCATTAAACCAAATGTGTATTAAATATGAATACATGGATATTTGACATCGGTGTGTGATAAGACAAATGGATTTTTTATGTATACATAAAATGGCAAGTGCAGAGGTTTCATGTCTGCTAAGCTGGGGCCAATAAAACTGAGAGTTAACTGTAAGCCCAATTCCAAGCGGTCCATGTATGCTGTTACGAATTATGGAAGCACAAATAGAACTTGAAATCTAAGCAAAGGTTTTACACTCTCTATATTAGCTGCTGGAGGGTTAGGATTAGCTGGATTCCACTAATTTCTTCCAGTATTCTTCTTCCCCAAAGTTATACAGAAAACTTCCTCAAAGCAAGCCAGATTCTAATCTAACTTTGATTTGGCTATTGCTCCCATATGAGACATACAAAATCAAGCGTTATCATCAGAACAAGCCAGTTTTATATATAACTTTCCTTTTCTTGCTTTGCATCTGACTACTCTGCATTGCTTCCAGACCCCTTAAACCTCCCTTGCTTGCTCCTGCTTGTTGGAATGACAGCAATGGGAACAGCTGGCCACCCAAAGAACCTTTCAGGATCTGGCTAAGAGAGGCTCATGCTGTGTTTGGCTGCTTCCTAGCTTCACCATTTCAGTGTTTGTTATAACCCTTGCTGAGTGCAGCTGGAATATTCAGGGGGTCTAATGATATTGCTGACTTGGGAAATCCTGACAGCTGGTGCTGGAAGGACATGAACTTCATTCAGCATGAGTATGACTCACATCCATTGGCAGAAAAGCAACTATCTGCAGCCGCCTTGCAAGTCAGCAATAATCCAGACTTATCATCTTGTCTCTGCTTTGTAAAGAACACAGTACTTTATTATTCCATAATTCTTACAAATGTTTGAATATCTATTGGTTGTTTCCACTAATAAACAAGTGGAAATAAATGACTGTGAGATACTACTGTAGATCAGTATCTTCTTTCCACACTAGATACAGTACTGAAATTAAGTAAAATAATCAGATTTGTATGGAAAATGAAGTTATTAAACTTTGCTTTGGATCCAATTTCTAAGAATTGCTAAGAGTGGATGTGATCCTGCCACCTACATGCCAGAAACCCTCTCTAGTCTCCTCCAAGTAGAGAATAAGGATCTTGGGAATCAACAAATACTGCCACTTGATTTTACTCTCTTCTCAAAATCATAATATGAATTAAGAGCAAAGACAATTATAATAGATGATCAGGATTTGCTTAGGCAAAACAAGAAAGCTTTTAAGTGGCCCATATATTTCTATAAGAAAGTATGGCTAAAACAACCTGTATTAAAAACTTTACAAATTCTGCATCTGGTTCATGTCATGGGACAAGTTGCAACATTTATAAGAAATGGTTGCTGGAACTGGGTATGTCTAGTCCAGTGATGGCAAACCTTTTAGAGACCGAGTGCAATTGACTAATAGCGAATTTGTCAATGCCAATGGTGTTCAAGTGGTGCTCCAGTTATTTTGGGATTGCACCCAAGGCGCCTATTACTATTGGTACTACCCTTGCTTGCCTTTGCCACAGTCTTTCTATTTCTATTTATAGGTCTTTGTATTTTGTTATCTTCTCCAGTTCTTTCTTGTCTATTCTGCTGTCTCCAGGCACTGCCACATCCACTATCCAGACTTTTTTGTCTTTCTTATCGACAATTATTAAGTCCGGAGTGTTATGTTACAGGTGCTTGTCTGTTTGAATTCTGAAGTCCCAGAGCAGTTTAATTTTATCATTTTCTATGACTTTCTCTATTTTATGATCCCACTAGTTCTTGCTTACAGGCAAATGATATTTCTTGCAGATCTTCCAATGCACCATTGTTGCTATTTTGTCATGCTGCTGCTTGTAGTCAGTCTGTGCAATCTTCTTGCAGCAGCTTACCAGGTGGCCCACTGTTTCTTCAGCTTCTTTGCATAGGCAGCATTTACTGTCTGTTGCTGTCTTCTCAATTTTGACTTTGTATGCTGCATCATCATCATCATCATTGTATGCTTCTTATGCCTTGAAATTCAATCACTAAAGCACTGCAAAGATCTATGGAGACACAGTCTGAGGAACACTCATGTTCCTTGGATACTTAATAAATAGATGTATTTAATTATTAATATTGATACTTTCATATCCAGACTTTCTTCTGGGAGCTTAAGATAGTATACATAGGTGGAGGACTTCCCTCACTTCAACTGAACTAAAGAAATATCTAGACCAGAGAATCAGTAAGCTGCTGGTCTGATGGGGATTTGAAATCCCAGCTCAAAACCTTATCCACTGTACCATGTTTACGCTAATAATGATCTCTTTTCTTGAAAACCATGTTTCTCATTATGTATGACACTCCCCTGCTGTATGCAGCTATAAAGGTATGTAAAGTTTGCTTTAGGACGGTTATAGTTTACATATGTCAATAAGTAGGCCAGCAAGCTTGGACAGTATCCTGCATATGCTAAATGTGCCGCCTTATATCGTATCACAGAATCTATAGTTTCATCACAGATGTTTAAAGATTCCTTGGCAGAACAAGGCTCTATTCAGAAGTAAAGTTCACATTTTGAATCAGCATATATTAGTGTGGCTTTTCCAGTTAGTCCTGCCCTCTGCTGTTCAAAGTGCAAAATCTTCCTGGATTATGATTTGAAAGCATTCCCTGACCTAGACATCTGTTCTACTTACAATGATGGCAGTAATTTGATTTACTGAACTTGTATTTAATTTAACATATTAAACTTGTATGCCTTTCCACTCTCAATGATTCTGGGTGGCTAAGGACCACACTAATGGGCATATCCCGTTACATGCCAATTGAAGCTGAAAATGTCATTTTTTTTTCCAACCAGCCTGAAGGCAGGGTTTAACAAAAACTGCAGACTTGCTGGAATTCTGCAGTTCAAAATCTGCAGTAGAAAACTGAAAGAGGTGGAAACACTATCCTCCACTACAGCTAAAATCAATGTAAAAATACCCTTACCCCCAGCCCCCATATAAACTACTTCTTAGATAATTTTATTCTCGTAAATACAATTTAAGTTTGTTTATTCTGCATTGGGGGGGGTCCTTAAGTCAATCTTACATTTCTGCCCTTGGTTGTCCATCTGTCTGTCCATCCATCCTGTCCGTCCATCCCATCCCATCCCATCCCATCCCATCCCATCCATCCATGCATCCATCCATCTATCCCGTTTAGAATTAGAACCTTATTCTGTGTGACAACTAAAGACATTTTAGACTTAAACCTAATTCCAGTGCTTTGAATTGATGCCTTCCTGCTAGAATCAAAATCGTATTCATGACTCAGAAAAAGGGTGTGGCCATCACCATCCTCAGGTCATGTTGTTCAGAAAACACCAATTTTGAGAACGAGCAGCCTCTTATTTCAGAAACAGGAAGTATCCTTAAATAACCCTTATTATGGCTTCTATTTCTTTAAAGCACACACACACAAATATTCTGCTGCTTCATTTGTGTTGTGTCAGGGCCATTCAGTTCAGATTATTAAAACCAAAATTTATGAAAAAGCATTCACGATTCTTTTTACTACACACTTCTTAGTTGTTCAATATATTTAAGTATTTTTAGATTTGGCTTGACAAATTCTTCCTTCCAGTATTAAGCAGAAGTTATACGTTATGACCAGCCCTTTCCTCTGGTACAGCACAGCACTGGATATGAGATAAATTGACTCCATGCTGAAAAGGCTCAAAAAGGTGGAAATAAGGCCCTTCCCTTCTGCCTCCAAGCAGCCTCTCTCATATAATATACAAAGGAGGTACCAGAGAAAATCAGATTGCACCTTTATAATTCCTCATGGAACAATAGAGAGGTGGACTCAGTCTAGATAATTCCTGATTTGTTGGCTGGATCTAGGACAGTGGTTCTCAACCTGTGGGTCGGGATCCCATTTGGGGTCGAATGACCATTTCATGGGGGTCGCCAAACAAGGCTGCCGCCATTTTTCCCCCTTTTCTTTGGCCACTCCCCTGGCACCCGGTGATGTTTAAGTGGTTGGGGGTCACCACAACATGGGGAACTGTATTATGGGGTCACGGCATTAGAAAGGTTGAGAACCATTGATCTAGGACATCATATATGAAGTCCTGTCCTTGACTGGGCAAAGCAACAATCATTCCTTCCAAGGCTTTCAATAAAATCAAAATTAAACATTCAAAAAAAATGAACAATATGAACAAATATGAAAGGCAATATGAATGTCCAACCACATTGACTAAAAATACCTCCTTCTAACTTTTTTTTATAACAATTAATACATGTCAAAACCCAAGAACATAACCAAGGAGATGAGTAACTACTTTTATTAATTGATTACATGCCATCAAGTCGCAGCTGATTCTTAATGACCACAAACATAGATTTTCTCCATGATGATTTGTCCCTAACCTGTCTTTCTGGACCTCCAAGAATGTATACATTGCCACTGCAATGAGTCCATTCATCTTGCTGTTGGTCATCCTTGTCTACTCTTTTTTTCTGCCTTTCTCAGCATCTGAGTCTTTCCCAGAGGTCTTTGCATAAGGTGTCTGAAGTAGTATAGTTTGAGCCTGGTCATTTGTGCCTTGATGGAAAAGTCTGGGATGATTTGTTCAGTGATTCTCTTCTTTAGTTTCTTAGCTATCCATGACATTCTCAGGAATCTTCTCCAATACCAAATTCAAAAATATCAATATTCTTCCTAGCCCGCTTCTCAGAAAGTCCAAAAGTTCTCTTCCATAGAGTATTACAGAGAATTCCATGGCTTGCATAGGTATGATCTTGTAGGTATAGACACATCATAGTATCTGAAT